GAGAATGGGATGGGGAAAGAGGTGGAGGGAGAGAAAGAGAGCGAGGAAGAAGAGAGAAGAGTGGTGCAGAGTGGAGCAGAGAGAGAGAAGATGCAGAATGACAGAGGTAAAGACCGGCAACAAGGAGAGGAGAACCAGGGGCAGGAAAGAGGCCCCGAGACACCAGGAGAGTTACCCAGGAACAGAGGCCCGGGGCTGGGTACTGAGTCTAGGGCCTGGGCCGGAGCTGTGGAGGACCACCAGGGAGAAGGGGACAGACTCAGCCCCAAAACTACTGATCAACAACCCCTGGGTCAGCTAGAAAAAGAAGAAAAGGGGGAGGAAATAGAGGTGGGACGCATTCCCCTCTATCCCAGTGTTCCAACTGCTGTAGCACTGTTCCAGTCACCGGCCTCTGAGCAAACCTTCCATGGGAAGGCCCAGACCAGGGGCTCGCCTAAGCCCAGTAAGCCCAACAACACACCTCGGAGCTGGGACACTATACAGAAGAGCTGCCCTCAGGAACCCAACAACACCCACGTCTCACCGAATGACAGCGCTGGACCTGTAATAGCCACACCTGTCCCGACTACGCCTATGAACGACCAATCAGAACCAGGGGGGAACCCCACAGCGCAGGAAGACCCGCCCCCTGTCAAGGTGTCTGAGCTGAAGAAGAGATTTGAGGCTTGATTATTGGTACAGGACTGTTTGAGTGGTTCATAGCTCAGCCAATGCTTTTGCAGTTTTTAAAGACTTGGGGACTTGACGAGTCAGAGAATAAATTGGGATGGGACATGAAACTCTGGAACATGAAACACGCTGAATGTTGTTGGGTTCCTGAATGAATAGAACTGACAATCCCCTATTCTAACCGACAGACAATTTCAGTTCTACACCATATATTTCTAACTGAACATTCTGTAGTGTTCTTATACAGGTCTATGATGTAATGCATAGGGCCAGGAGTTTTTCCCAGGATGTATTCACTAGGAAGAAAACGGAACCGAACGGGGGAGAGACCTTTCTGAATTTGTCCAATAGAAACTCTCATTTTCGTTGCAAAATATTTTCAGTTTGGAGTAAATTGTTTCCATTGCAAAACATTTTGATACAATGCTAAACGTTTTTGCTACAGTGTGCGACTAATGAATACACCCCCTGATCATGTTACATGACACTCAGGATCCAGTTATGTCCCATCCCAATGACTGATGTAGCTGGTTGTAATGTTCTTAGATTACCAGCAGATGGGGCTTGTGGAACATGGATAAATTAACTCAATGCACTGAATACATTTTAAAGTGTTATACTTCTAGAAAACTTATTTTTTATTACCAAATCAAATATTTTTCTCCTGGATAATAAGAAATGCACTCAATAAATGGAAGTTTTATACTTTTTGAGAGGAGTTTTATTACCAAATCAAATCTTTTTCACCTGGATAATATCATCAGAAGTGCATTAGAAATCATTCATAGTGTCTTAGACAACCATTCTTCATTTTCAAGACATACAACACACACACACACACAAATATATATAGCCACAAAATACAGTGACTAATATGTTTATACAAGAAGGGATACACTTAAATCATGGTTTGTATCCATGTAACAGTTTATGACTGCCATAATAAAGAGTGACGTTTTCCATATTGAGGAACTTTTAAATTCCCTTTTCTCTGTATGACTGACCTAATCAACAACTGATGTACCTACAGGTAAACATGTCAACAACTAGTCCACCTACAGGTAAACATGTCAACAACTAGTCGACCTACAGGTAAACATGTCAACAACTAGTCCACCTACATGTAAACATATCAACAACTAGTCCACCTACAGGTAAACAACCCACCCCTGACAGGGCATTCAGCATTCACATGTTGACACACTGAAGTCAACATCAGCACAGTTGGAGAAACTGGAGAGAACACAGACACTGGAGAGAACACAGACACTGGAGAGAACACAGACACTGGAGAGAACACAGACACTGGAGAGAACACAGACACTGGAGAGAACACAGACACATCCACCAGGCATGTTCAGGCATATTTAAAAAGACACTTCATATACAGATACCTTTACACAACACAATACATACAGAACATTATTACTAATATCCCCGTCTGGCTTCATGTACAGACACCTTTACACAACACAACACATACAGAACATTATTACTAATATCCCCGTCTGGCTTCATGTACAGACACCTTTACACAACACAACACATACAGGACATTATTACTAATATCCCATTCTGGTTTCATGTACAGGGTAGAGGTGGAGGGTAGTGAATAGTGAGGCTGTGGTAGTGCCAGAGAGAGGGAGGAAAAGAGAGAGAGAGAGAGAGAGTTCAGCGACAATGCTAGTGTGTGTGTAGCATCCATGCTAGAGTGTGTGTATCAGATGAGTCTCTCCTCCTTGGGCAGGGGCAGGCCTGGTCTCTCAGCCCCTCGTGGTCCTGTCTGTTTTCCCTCCTCCGCACTGGGCCGATACTTTCCCTCCATCCTTCTCTTCTTCCTGATCACACAGCCCATCAGGGCCAGGGCGAGACACAGCACTAGGGCCAGACCTGGGACTAACACAGACCACACCCCCCACGATGCCCTTGGTAACGACAACACCACTGTCATGACGATGGGCCCTGAGGAGTCAGAGAGGGAGGAGGGGATGAGAGAGAGAGAGAGAGAGAAGCAGGTACACAGGCAGACAGACACACAGACAATAGGTAGACGGATGTCTCACTCACCTGAGGGTTAGAGGTGACACTGCTAGTCTCTGCTCTCACATCTGGACCAATGGGGACACAGCAGCCAGACTGACAGTGAGGAGTGCCTGTCTATAGAGAGACAGAGTGTTCGAGAGCATCAAAACCGTGACGTATCATGGGTAAATCATGACTGACTGACTGATCTACAAATAATATTGAGTAGCCATTTGTGATGCAAGGTGATTTGTAGATCAGTCAGTGTCGACTCGGCAGTCGGCTGCAGTGTCAAACGTGTCCAGAGACAGTCTAAAGCAGTGTTTCTCAACCGAGTCCCAAATTACACCCTATTCTTTTTCTAGTTCACTACTTTTGACCAGGACCCATAGTGCACCATCTAAGGGTTAGTGTGTGTATATAATAGGATGTGGGTGTAACAGTGTTGCTTCCTTCCCTCTCCTTGCTCACACCTGAGCTTGAACCAAGGACCCTTCTGCACACATCGACAACAGTCACCCTCGAAGCACCGTTACCCGTCGCTCCACAAAAGCCAAGGGAAACAACTACTTCAAGGGCTTAGAGCGAGTGACGTCACCGATCGAAACGCGCACCGCTAACTAGCTAGCCATTTCACACCGGTTATATGGGCCCAGGTCAAAAGTGGTGCAGTACAAATAATAATGGTGCCATTCGGGACAGATCCCCAGTCAGAGATGAAACAGCACAAACCCAGGGTTGGAGAGTCTGTTAACATTCCTCGTTTGGGCATTAGTGGTGAGATAGTTAATGATCTGCTTTGGGTAAATAATAGTCTACTGATCAATACCCTAACAACACTACACTGAAACCACGAGCTGCACAACTTACAGGAAAAGCGATGTATTTACTTTACTGTCCAAACAAGTATTCCTAAACAACCACTTGTGTGACTAGAATTTCAATAAGGAATAATGAAATACATTTGAATATTGAAGCGCTCATATTATCAAGTTTACAATTAAACATATCAAGTAAGTTGAAGCAACTAATAAACTTCAGGTCTAGACCTATTAAACGACCGATTCTTGATACTTTATTTTAAAACCTGCTCAAATTGCAAATTACGCTTCCTGCGGATCGCCTGTCAAAGTAAATATTGTAACTAAACAAATATTTGAATTCAGCGCGAAACCCAGCCGCCTACACACATTCACACATCATTTTAAAGCGCCGATAGAAGGAATGTCGGCCCTGCTGTTGGAATGCGACCGAGCCTGCTACACCTGTTCTCAGGTGTATCAATTCTAATGCGCTGCTGTTACAAAGAAATAAAACCAACCCAAAACGGTCTAAATACGGCTTTCAGCATTCGTAGCCTATCAAGCTAAAGTTCCACTGCTAAAACTATCCTAGGCCTACTATATCTCTGTTTTCAACAACAAACACCTCTGCCGACTCTATCAAATCTACATCACCATACGGACCTATAAAACAACATTGGACATTGTTTAATTTAGGTGTTTTCCAAGGACTTACCTGCTGATTACAACGAGCTATTTTCCGAAGTCAATGGACGGTAGAAACAGTAGGCATATTGGTGTAGACTAGCGATGCCCTAGGGCTACTTAGGAGACTTCTCGATTATCTTTCAAACTCCATTCAACGGTGTCCGCCCGGTAACTTTTCTACCCACGCTCACCATAGTGTACCTGTCCGTATGCAAATGAGGACGGTTGTCACATGTGCAGCTAGAGCCAATCAGTACCTAGGACTACTACCGAATTATCGCCTCTCTCTCTCACACACTCTCTCACACACACACCGTTGTGGGGGGATAAAACAGGCCTTCTGTAGCCTACATCTTTAGCAAACTTGGAATCCCCTCCCCCACCACCACTACCACCACAACCAGTTCCCTGTCTGGGACAGTTTAATGATTACAGGAGACCAGGTCCTGCCAGCTCCAGCAGGGTTGGTTGAAGAGGTGAAGTTGACACAGTGTGTTTATTTCCGGTTTTTCTCGTCATTGACAGGAATAAGTACCTTAGTCTGACCCGTTATCAAACATACACAGACATAGTTGTTAGTTGTAAACTATAACTGTTTGGGGTTCTTTTCAGCTCTTTACTTACATAACATCATATCAAAACCCGGACAAAGAGATTATTTGAGAAAGAAACATCCAGAAACGATTTAGAGGTATTGACTGAGGAGGCTGTGTGTGTGTGTGTCTGACCCCTGTCTGACCCCTGTCTGACCCCATGACCCCTATAGCCTACTGACCCTCCCTGCCTGAGGGTCAACTCCTGGGCTCTGTCTGAAAACGTTACTAGCCGTAAAACCCTTGTCCCTGTTTCCTCAATAGTGTAAAACAGTTGTAGAGGGCTCTGGTCAAAAATAGTGCACTATATAAGGAATAGGGTGCTATTTGGGATGCAGCTATGTGTTGACCAAAGGTAGACACAGTCTGTGAGTTACTATGCCATGGCATAACTCATTGTAGCCTAATACAGAGCGAGTATGGACTGAAGAGGAGTTTTACAATTTAGGATTCAGAATATATTCTGTTAGAAACTGACCAGTCAATTATGTACACCGTGACTGTCTATTCAGCTGTATGTATTGTAATGAAACAGGCAGGGAGCGCGGCTTGAACCCTCAACTTTCTGGCCCCAAGCCCAGCGCGTCATCGATTGTGCAACAAAAGTATGCTCAAGTGGCAGAGTCAATATCCGCGTTTATAAACCAGGGTCGCTACAATATACACACACACACACACAGACAGGGGGAGAGCGGCTCATAATAATGGCCGGAACGGAGCAAATGGAATGGCATCAAACACCTGGAAACCATGTATTTGATACCATTCCACTGATCCCGCTCCAGACATTAACACAAGCCCATTCTCCCCAATTAAGCCCATTCTCCCCCCCCCCCCCCCCCCACATACACACAGGCTGATCTTTAGCATAGTGCAAAATCACAGGCTAATACATTTACATTTACATTTACGTCATTTAGCAGGCGCTCTTATCCAGAGCCACTTACAAATTGGTGCATTCACCTTATAGCCAGTGGGATAACCACTTTTCAATATGTTTTTTTTTTTTTTTTTTTTTTTTTTGGGGGGGGGGGGGGGGGGGGGGTAGAAGGATTACTTTATCCTATCCCAGGTATTCCTTAAAGAGGTGGGGTTTCAAATGTCTCCGGAAGGTGGTGAGTGACTCCGCTGTCCTGGCGTCGTGAGGGAGCTTGTTCCACCATTGGGGTGCCAGAGCAGCGAACAGTTTTGACTGGGCTGAGCGGGAACTGTGCTTCAGCAGAGGTAGGGGAGCCAGCAGGCCAGAGGTGGATGAACGCAATGCCCTCGTTTGGGTGTAGGGACTGATCAGAGCCTGAAGGTACGGAGGTGCCGTTCCCCTCACAGCTCCGTAGGCAAGCACCATGGTCTTGTAGCAGATGCGAGCTTCAACTGGAAGCCAGTGGAGTGTGCGGAGGAGCGGGGTGACATGAGAGAACTTGGGAAGGTTGAACACCAGGCGGGCTGCGGCATTCTGGATGAATTGTAGGGGTTTAATGGCACAGGCAGGGAGCCCAGCCTACAGCGAGTTGCAGTAATCCAGACGGGAGATGACAAGTGCCTGGATTAGGACCTGTGCCGCTTCCTGTGTAAGGCAGGGTCGTACTCTCCGAATGTTGTAGAGCATGAACCTACAGGATCGGGTCACCGCCTTGATGTTAGCGGAGAATGACAGGGTGTTGTCCAGGGTCACGCCAAGGCTCTTCGCACTCTGGGAGGAGGACACAACGGAGTTGTCAACCGTGATGGTGAGATCATGGAACGGGCAGTCCTTCCCCGGGAGGAAGAGCAGCTCCGTCTTGCCAGGGTTCAGCTTGAGGTGGTGATCCGTCATCCATACTGATATGTCTGCCAGACATGCAGAGATGCGATTTGCCACCTGGTTATCAGAAGGGGGAAAGGAGAAGATTAGTTGTGTGTCGTCTGCGTAGCAATGATAGGAGAGGCCATGTGAGGATATGACAGAGCCAAGTGACTTGGTGTATAGCGAGAATAGGAGAGGGCCTAGAACTGAGCCCTGGGGGACACCAGTGGTGAGAGCACGTGGTGCGGAGACAGCTTCTCGCCACGCCACTTGGTAGGAGCGACCGGTCAGGTAGGACGCAATCCAAGAGTGAGCCGCGCCGGAGATGCCCAGCTCGGAGAGGGTGGAGAGGAGGATCTGATGGTTCACAGTATCAAAGGCAGCAGACAGGTCTAGAAGGACAAGAGCAGAGGAGAGAGAGTTAGCTTTAGCAGTGCGGAGAGCCTCCGTGACACAGAGAAGAGCAGTCTCAGTTGAATGACCAGTCTTGAAACCTGACTGGTTTGGATCAAGAAGGTCATTCTGAGAGAGATAGCAAGAGAGTTGGCTAAAGACGGCACGCTCAATAGTTTTGGAGAGAAAAGAAAGAAGGGATACTGGTCTGCAGTTGTTGACATCAGAGGGATCGAGTGTTGGTTTTTTGAGAAGGAGTGCAACTCTTGCTCTCTTGAAGACGGAAGGGACATAGCCAGCGGTCAAGGATGAGTTGATCAGCGAGGTGAGGTAAGGGAGAAGGTCACCGGAGATGGTCTGGAGAAGAGAGGAGGGGATAGGGTCAAGCGGGCAGGTTGTTGGGCGGCCGGCCGTCACAAGTCGCAAGATTTTATCTGGAGAGAGAGGGGAGAAAGAAGTCAAAGCATAGGGTAGGGCAGTGTGAGCAGGACCAGCAGTGTCATTTGACTTAACAAACGAGGATCGGATGTCGTCAACCTTCTTTTCAAGAAGTCATCCACAGAGAGGGAGGGGGGGGGGGGGGGGGGGGGAGGATTCAGCAGGGAGGAGAAGGTGGCAAAGAGCTTCCTAGGGTTAGAGGCAGATGCTTGGAATTTAGAGTGGTATAAAGTGGCCTTAGCAGCAGAAACAGATGAAGAAAATGTAGAGAGGAGGGAGTGAAAAGAAGCCAGGTCCGCAGGGAGTCTAGTTTTCCTCCAATAATAGACATGTATCTCTCCTCAACTCATTGCTTAGTAATTTTGTTAATTGTGCAGCGCTGATGCTGCTAGTACTGAAGGCCTGCATTCTGCAAAATCTCAATCTGAACTACTCACTCCCGTCACTAGATGGCAGTGTAAAGTTTCTTGTTCAACCATCCTCAGTTCTACAACCGGAAAAGAGAAGAAGAAATGCTGCTGATTTTCGTGACGTGAAAACGACCATTTCCGAAAGCACTGGCGGGAGTGCAAATTGTATTCTCTAGTTACAACATAATTACAAAGAAAAAAACGCTGCAAAAGCAAGCTTTTGTTGAAGTTATTTAGAAAAACGAATCTAGCGCTAAGCAGGTGTTATATTGCAAGCAATTGAAATTGTCCAAGTTTTCAGGAGAGAAGACGGCAACAACCATCAGAAGACGCCACACACGTAACGTTATCTTTAGTCAAAGAGACTGAATGGTTAGCTAGCTTCATATTTCCCGTCCTGCCTTTATCTGCAACGTCAAGGGAGATAAACGAGCTAAATTCTAGTCATTTTTCAAATAATTCATCTGCTAGGCTTGCAAGGCTACTGTAAAGACATGGCTAAAGTTCAAGTGTTGAATGTCGCTGTGTTGGACAACCCAAGTCCTTTTGGGAACCCGTTTCAGTTCGAGATTACGTTCGAATGCATGGAGGATTTACCGGAGGGTGAGTGGTAACGTTATTCTGTTGCTAACTTCGTATTTTTGGTCAAATCTAGCTAACGTTATCTAGATAACTATACTATATAGTATTATTTGCTGTTAACCAAAATGCAATTATAATGTATCTAACCGTTGCCTTTTAGGTGTAACAACAGTTTGCTGAAATGTATCTGTTTCAATTAACTTTACATGTATATGTTTCTAGTTAACTACTTAGCTAAATTGAAATATGTTGATATTGTTTGAGGAAGTTAGCTAGCTAGCTATTTGAGTTGACAATTCATCAGAATTTGGCGCCCGCGCGTCTTGTTAACATTTCCGGTCCTTCTGACATCTGGATGGCCGTGGTGACCTCGAGGCGAGCCGATTGGTGCGCTGACAGATTACAACGGCAGACAGTGGAAATACTTATGAATAAATTGCGGGAAAAACGTCTCTCTTCCCCTAGATGAATAGTTATTTCCACTAATGAGAAGAAACCTATCCTGTCCGCGCTAAAGTGGAGGTGGTGGGACCACACTAACTGCGTGGATGTGTCTGAAATGGCACTATATTCCCTATATCAAATCATATTTTATTTGCCACATGCGCTGAATACAACAGGTGTAGACATTACCCTGAAATGCTTACTTACAGCCCTTAACCAACAAGGCATTAATTTGTTTATAAAAAAGTAAAACAACAACAAAAAAGTGTTGAGAAAAAAAGAGCAGAAGTCAAATAAAATAACAGTAGGGAGGCTATATATACAGGGGGGTACCAGAGCAGAGTCAATGTGAGGAGGCACCGGGTAATTGAGGTAATATGTACATGTGGGTAGAGTTAAAGTGACTATGCATAAATAATTAACAGAGTAGCAGCAGCGTAAAAAGATGGGGTGGGGGGGCAGTGCAAATAGTCCGGGTAGCCATGATTAGCTGTTCAGGAGTCTTATGGCTTGGGGGTAGAAGCTGTTGAGAAGCCTTTTGGACCTAGACTTGGCGCTCCAGTACCGCTTGCCGTGCGGTAGCAGAGAGAACAGTCCAAGACTAGGGTGGCTGGAGTCTTTGACAATTTTGAGGGCCTATATAGTGTAGTCGCAGAGCCTTATGGGACCTGGACAAAGATAGTGCACTATATAGTGAATGGGGCCTCCCGAGTGGCGCAGCGGTCTAAGGCACTGCCTGTCAGTGCTAGAGGCGTCACTACAGACCCTGGTTCGATCCCGGCCGTGATCGGTAGTCCCATAGGGCAGGCACAATTGACCCAGCGTCGTCCGGGTTAGGGGGTCATTGTAAATAAGAATTAGTTCTTAACTGACTTGCCAAGTTAAATAACAAATGCAAAAAATATGTGTGAGAAGTAAACTAACTAAATTCAAATCAAATCACATTTTATTGTTGCTTTTATGATACGGTTAAATATATAGTTTTTGCATTTTAACTTTTATTTTATGCACTTTGAGATTTTATGTATAATGAAAAGTGCTTTAAAAAAATGTTAAATATTATTGTTATTAGACTTTACTGTGAAATGCTTACTTATCAGCCATTTCCCAACAATGTAGAGTTCAAAATTAATAAAAAGAGGTTGTTGAGGTGATTGAGGAAATATATACATGTAGTTAGGGGTAAAAGTGACTAGGCAATCAGGATCAATAATAAACAGAGTAGCAGCAGTGTGTGTGTGGCGTCAATATGCATGTGTTGGAGTGTGAGTGTAGCATGTGTCTGGGTAGAGTCAATGCAAATAGTCAGGGTAGCCATTTGATTAACTGTTCAGCAGTCTTATGGCTTGGGGGTAGAAGCTGTTCAGGAGCCTTTTGGTCCCAGACTTGGCACTCCGGTACCATTTGCCATGCGGTAGCAGAGAGAACAGTCTGACTTGGATGGCTGGAGTCTTTGACAATTATAGAGGTCCTGGATGGTAGGGAGCTCGGCCCCAGTGATGTACTGGGCCATACGCACTACCGTCTGTAGCGCTTTACGGTCAGATGCCGAGCAGTTGCCATACCAGGTGGTGATGCAACCGGTCAGGATGCTCTCGATGGTGCAGCTGTAGAACTTTGAGGATCTGGGGACCAATGCCAAATCTTTTCAGTCTCCTGAGGGGGGAAAAGGCGTTGTCGTGCCCTCTTCACGACTGTCTTGGTGTGTTTGGACCATGATAGTTTGTTGGTGATGTGGACACCAAGGAACTTGAAACTCTCGATCCGCTCCACTACAGCCCTGTCCATGTGAATGGGAGCGTGCTCGGCCCTCCGTTTCCTGTAGTCCACGATCATCTCCTTTGTCTTACTCACATTGAGGGAGAGGTTGTTGTCCTGGCACCACACTGCCAGGTCTCTGACCTCCTCCCTATAGGCTGTCTCATCGTTGTCGGTGATCAGGCCTGTTGTGTCGTCGGCAAACTTATTGATGGCGTTGGAGTCATGCTTGGCCACGCAGTCATGGGTGAACAGGGAGTACATGAGGGGACTGAGCACGCACCCCTGAGGGGCCCCCGTGTTGAGGATCAGCGTGACAGATGTGTTGTTACCTACCCTCACCACCTGTTGGCGGTCTGTCAGGAAGTCCAGGATCCAGTTGCAGAGGGAGGTGTTTAGTCCCAGGGTCCTTAGCTTAGTGATGAGTTTTGTGGGCACTGTGGTGTTGAACACTGAGCAGTAGTCAATGAACAGCATTCTTACGTAGGTGTTCCTTTTGTCCAGGTGAAAGGACCGTGTGGAGTGCAATAGAGATTGTGTCATCTGTGGATCTGTTGGGGCGTTCCGCGAATTGGAGTGGGTCCAGGGTGCCTGGGATGATGGGGTTGATATGAGCCATGACCTGCCTTTCAAAGCATTTCATGGCTACAGATGTGAGTGCTACGGGGCGATAGTCATTTAGACAGGGTGCCTTGGTGTTCTTGGGCACAGGTATGGTGGTCTGCTTGAAACATGTAGGTATTACAGACTGGGTCAGGGAAGTTAATGTGTGTGTGTGTGTGTGTGTATGTATAGACCTGGAGTGGAAGATCATCTATGTGGGCTCAGCAGAGACTGAGGAGTATGATCAGACTCTGGACTCAGTTCTGGTCGGACCAGTACCGGCAGGCAGACACATGTTCGTGTTCCAGGTGAGTGACTGAGCTACACACACACACACACACACACACACACACACACACACACACACACACACACACACACAGTGAGTGACTGAAACACACACAGAGAAAACCCACGGACATATACATCTCAATCTCTCTCTTTTTTCTCTCCTCCTCTTCCTCCTTCTCATCCCTCCTCTTCCTCCCTCCAGGCAGATGCCCCCAACACCGGGCTGATTCCTGAGAGTGATGCTGTGGGGGTAACCGTGGCACTCATCACCTGTACCTACAACGGACAGGAGTTCATCCGTATCGGTTACTATGTCAACAATGAATACACCGACCCAGAGCTCCGAGAGAACCCACCGGTCAAACCAGACTACACACAGGTAATACACACACACACACACACACACACAGGTAATAAACAGTATGATACACACACACCAGACTACACACAGGTTATACACACTGATACACACACATACCAGAAAATCACAAAATGGAAAACAGGAATCGATTCTTGTAAAGGAATTGACTCCTTGTGAAAGGTTCTCACCACTGTTAGGAATCGGAAATACCCTATTTTTGCAATTGACTCCCAGCCTTAATTCATAACCATAACCCTCCCCATAACCCCCTCCACCTCCTCCAGCTGCAGAGGAACATCCTGGCCTCTAACCCCCGTGTGACCCGGTTCCATATCAACTGGGATGGCTGTTCAGACAAGATGGAGGACAGTGAGAACGTTGACCCCTCCCCCAACAGCAGTAGCAGCATGCTGCCTCCCTCCTCCTCCTGTTTACCTGGCAAGGTTTTATCTGTAGGACTGATGCCTGATAACTCTATGGACTGTCTGTAGAACCCAGCCACCCCACCAGCATTGCCTTACTGCGTTCTGCTCCAGCAGTCTCCAGTCTTTGGCAGGAAGGATGAGTCACTGTTATAAACCACCTGTACTATAGGGTTCACTGTCTCCATCCTTCACACAGCAACATCTCTCGGTGTCTCTCTCTGTCTCTCTCTCTCTCTCTCTCGGTCTCTCTCTGTCTCGACTGACACTTGTACATGGGCTACGTCCCAAATGGCACCCTATTCCCTACATAGTGCTCTACTTTTAAACGGGGCCCTCTGCTCAAAAGTAGTGCACTAAAAAGTAGTGCACTGTCAGGGAACAGGGTGTCATTTCATCCAAAATGTCCTGTTTTGTGTCTTAGGGTTTTAAACAAATTGACACCAGGACTGTTTCCATACCAACACAGTTTAGCCCAGGCCCTGTTCCAATACTTCAGAAATGCATCCTTGTTTCCTTGAGGTGAGCAGGGACCTATAAGTGGCAGCAAGGTGACCACACTGTTACTTTCACCAATACAACCAATTCAGGAAGGTAGGCCTCTAGTAGGAGACTGAGTTGCCTCTAGACGCTGCTCCAAGGTCAGTTTCTAATGACCAGGGAAAAGCCCTAACCCTACAGGGTGACTCCAGGACTGTGCAGGGTTGGGGGTCAATTCCATTTAAATTCCAGTCAATTCAGGAAGTACTCCGTAATTCCAACTCTCTTCAATGCTTTTCAATGTAGAACATGTGGAATTAGAATTTGTTTTACATTCTGAATTGAAAGGAATTTAAATGGAATCGACCCCAAACCTGGGGCTGCGTCCCAAATATCACCCTATTCCCTACACAGTGCACTACTTTTGACCAGAGTTGGCCGGGGCCCGTAGGGCTGTTGTCAAAAGAAGTGCACTATGTTGGGAGTAGGGTGCCATTTGGGAAGCAACATGCATGGCAGTTGTAGTTGGGGGAGGGGTTTGTTTATTTCAGTCATATGACTGTTTGTTTACTGTATATATCTTTTGATTCATTAGCGCTTAAAATATTTTTTTTTTGTATTTAGTATTGCATTGTAATATTTGTAACAATGAAAAGTATAAATAATAAACATATTTTGTTGTTTTTTAAACGGTGTATAGTGAGAGTGTATTAATAAATGCTGTGTTATGTTTTCAACTGGAGAGGTTATGTCACTGAGCACTGAGGGGAGGAGGGGTGAGTGGGGGAGAAGGAGAGGGGAGGCTTGCTAGAAGCTGAGCCTTACTGCTTCTCTCCTCTCTGTGTGTGTGTGTTTCATTCATAAAATGCAGCAGGACAAATAGCATCTCTCTCCACCAGTTTCACTATGAGACGGTGCAGACTTGCCTCATGTTGCTAAGCAACTGCAAGAAGGGGGGGGGGGGGGGGGGGGGGCGTGTCTCTGCTCATTCTGATCCCTGTTGAATGAACCAGTTCTATCCAATCAGCATCCCTCTACTCTCCATCCCTCCGCCCCCTCCATCCCAGTGTGTTCAGTGATCCTATCTCTTCTTCCCTCTGCACTGATCTTATAACAAATGATGGATCACATCGGTGTGGTAAATACTAAGAGTGGTACTTTGTGTTCTGCTAATACCTGTCAGTACCTTCACCTTAGTGAAGATGAGAGGAGACCTTAGTGCAGATGAAGATGAGATGAGACCTTAGTGCAGATGAAGATGAGATGAGACCTTAGTGCAGATGAAGATGAGATGAGACCTTAGTGCAGATGGAGAGGAGACCTTAGTGCAGATGAAGATGAGATGAGACCTTAGTGCAGATGAAGATGAGATGAGACCTTAGTGCAGGTGAAAATGAGAGGAGACCTTAGTGCAGATGAAGATGAGAGGAGACCTTAGTGCAGATGAAGATGAGAGGAGACCTTAGTGCAGATGAAGATGAGATGAGACCTTAGTGCAGATGAAGATGAGATGAGACCTTAGTGCAGGTGAAAATGAGAAGAGACCTTAGTGCAGATGAGATCGAGAAGACCTTAGTGCAGGTGAAATGAGAGGAGACCTTAGTGCAGATGAAGATGAGATGAGACCTTAGTGCAGGTGAAAATGAGAGGAGACCTTAGTGCAGATGAAGATACGAGGAGACCTTAGTGCAGGTGAAAATGAGAGGAGACCTTAGTGCAGATGAAGATAGAGGAGACCTTAGTGCAGATGAAGATGAGAGGAGACCTTAGTGCAGATGAAGATGAGAGGAGACCTTAGTGCAGATGAAGATGAGAGGAGACCTTAGTGCAGGTGAAGATGAGGAAACAACTGCATGCTCATCCATCTGTTTGCAACCTCTGCAGTTGACTGCAGTTTCAGTTCAACTGTGTACTTGACAAGGATGCATATGCATATATTGCCTATATTCCAAAATATATGTGTAGGACCACCAATGTCCTTTAGAATAATTATGTTGGTCCTTACTATAAGACATTACTTATTAACATGTGGAGTAAACTTTGATACTGTTACTACAATGTAACATATACATTGTAACAATGTTACAACCCTAGAGATTAAATAGAATGCTCACTGTATCGGAAGAAACTGTTCCAAATATCTTTATCGTTACAGTTTATTTGATCAGTTATATTTTGTTGTAAATATATCCCGAGTCTGGGTACGGTTCCCCGTACGTCGTTCGTTACACAAACAAACTGAATTTGGAAGTCCTGCCGTAGCGCGGCCGCGTGCATTACATTCATTCTGACCAACATTCCTAAAAATAGCCCTTGCTGCTTGACGTCACTCGGCCAATCACAGATTAGTTGGGAGGGCGGGGGCAACGCGAGGCCATTCCGTCTGACGGCCAATGGTATTTCGCCAAACGGGGCCCATTCCGTTAGCTCCGCCCGAGAGCCCATAGCGCCGAGCCAATCAGAATCCCGCGAAAGGAGTGATGTGGGCGTGTACGTGTTCCAGTAGGAAAATAATCAGTGACGTCACTCAACGTTTATTTTATTTTATGTAAAAGACCGGAATCTTGGTTTTGTTGAAGGACGGTAATAATCCAATCGGAGCACTTCACGGGGTTGACACGCTGACAGGTGGCCAATCAGTGTTCTTCACTCCGCTGTCAGTCGGGCTGGATTCAGCCAATGGGCTCTATGGATGGGCCTCGATCGTCTATCCGCTGTAGTTCGGTCACTCAGCTCGATTCACACCGAAAGCTACGGGAGGCTATGTTGATTCTGGTGATTTCCCATCCTCATCGAGTTCGGTAAAACGACATCCTCGGAGCCGGGTTCGGGAAAGGAAAGGGGACCAGGCATCCAGCTCGGAGATTGGCCACCTTGCACGGTGCGAAAACTGGGTATTTGCGCTGGGGAGAGGCGGGGGGCCTCGTTCGGCGGGGGCTGCACGGAGGGACAGGCAGGGACAGACGAACCGACCGAGTCGGGCTGGACTCGGCCCGGCACGCTGCGGTTCCAGCCAAGCACCAGACCACAGCCCAAGACAGAAAGACGAGACACGGACGTCGCTGTCTCCATTACGGACTATAACTTAATTTATTATTTTTTATAACGGTTCTATACTGTAGAGAACAGATGAGCTCTCTGCCAGTCTAGACTGCAGCTGTCAAGCTATTTCAGTCCGGACCGACTGGTTTTGGAAGAACGGACAGAACGACTGCTGGACTCAGCTTAGACCGGGTCCTGGAGAGTCCAGGGCGTGTAGTGGAGCTCGGATCTGCTGACGGCCTGCCATCATGGGCAACGTGCCCACGGCCAAGAAGGGAAGCGAGATGGAGAGTGGTGGGGATCATTACTGTCTCGCTCTGAGTTATCAGTCTACCTGTCTGTTCACGTCTCTTTAACTGTGTCTCTGGGGGGACACCATGCACCCCTGAGGTTTTGAGGGTATAGGCTACTAAGGGTATCCAGTATTTCATGCATGCTTAGAACTATAATACAACAACAATCGATCAATCATCAAATGTATTTTATAAAGTCCTATTTACATCAGCAGTTGTCACAAAGTGCTTTACAGATACCCAGCCTAAAAACCCCCAAAGAGCAGGAAATGCAGAGAGAAACACAGGCCTATTCATTGAAGTGTAGCTTATTTCCATATGGCCATTTACATTAAACACATTTGAGCATTCTATAACATTACAGTTCTATAACATTACAGTTCTATAACCTTCATTATCATCTGAGTAGCGTTATTATTTATGAGTCTGATTGTGGACACATTGTCCAAGACGCTAGGCCTATATCTGGTTGATGCCAGATGAGAATTGGATAAATAAAGTGACGGGTAGAAAATGAGATTATAGGCCATAATGTTCATGATGTTTGAATCCCAGATTCCCCCACTGCCTTTAGGCTACTATAGTTGTAAAGTAGGCCTGATATATGAGTTCAGGGAACAGTGTTGGAGTTGGATGGCGGCCAGTCTTCCAGACAGGTACAGTATGTTATCACCCAGCAGCACCAGCAGGACAGGGTGTCTTTTTGCAGGCCAGGTGTAAGAATGGCCACGTTGCTGTTAGATACCGTTACCAGGCGGCATGTTGGAGGCCAGGGCAAATGCTGTAGCACTCGAGGACAGGTGGTGGTGGAGGTGGTGATGGTGGTGGTGGTGGTGGTGGAGGTGGTGGTGGAGATGGAGGTGGTGGAGGTGGTGGTGGTGGTGGTGGTGGAGGTGGTGATGGAGGTGGTGATGGAGGTGGTGGTGGTGGTGGAGGTGGTGATGGAGGTGGTGTGGAGGTGGTGGGTGGTGGTGGGGGTGGAGGTGGAGGTGGTGGTGGTGGTGGAGGTGGGGATGGTGGGGTAGTTAGGTTATTAAAAAGCATGAGCTGGCGCACACCCCAAAACGTTAGTAGAGGTGCTGACTAACGGAGAGGAAACTGGAGGCCAAAAGGAGACAGTGGCACAGTCTTTATAAAGCTCCCAGTCATTTCTTATCACCCTGAAGAAGACACTGGGATGCTGAAACGTTGGTGCTTTACCCCATAAATGACTGGCAGGGAGACTCTTGTTTTTATAGCCTACAGGGTGGTTAGGTTATAACAGTTTATAACAGTCGCTTATAATGAGTCTTTCCTGAGCGAACTGTATGGAGTAGGATACTGTGTGTGTGTGTGTGTGTGTGTGTGTGTGTGTGTGTGTGTGTGTGTGTGTGTGTGTGAACCATGACCATGTGCTGTCACGCTCGTTTCTCCAAACCTGTTT